TTTAACTGTTGGATTCTGTTGAGCGAAAGCAGCAACTTTGAGGATGGTTTTTAACGAAGATGGGAACGGAATATGGTTTCTGTGTCGTGTTCTTAGAACACTACCTTAAAAACCTTTACGACCAGGGAATCGCAAGTTTTCGACAGGTTCAACACAGAACTGCAGAGCTCAGGAGTGGTTGCGGGAATTTTCGTTAGTTGCTTCTGGAATGATGGGGAAGGGTGGTTTATATACTGGAAGCTATAACCGCCCATCCCCTCTCATCCATAGAACTATCGCGCAAAGAGGGGAGTGTGGACAAGACTAGCGCCTTGTGCGCTCACGTTCTGTAGAATAGAAAGAAGAGCGGACAAGGTGACTAGTTATTCCACGAAAATAGGGGTTAAAAATATAGATGGGGTGCTCAACTCAACTCGACGCGCGTGCGAACCGAATCGGGCGGCGGCGGCGCGCGTGGTTTCCCCCTATTTCCCTCCATAACACTTCAATCCTTGTAAAAGGAGTTGGTGTTTAAAAGGTGAGAAAAGATGGGCTAGCTTTCCAATGTGGGATACTTGTCAAAAGACAATTACAAAGCTTTTGCCTCATAAATGTTCCCAACACATAAAACATGCTAGTAAAGAGAAGATAAAGAACACTTGGTGTCATCTCTTTTCACTTGTTGCAGAGTATTGAATTGGCTGACAGATGGTTTGATGGCTTGATCAATAAGGACGTCGAGGTTAGCAATGAAATATATTCTCTGCGTGAGGTCGAGTTTGATCGTCAGGTTAGTTCTTGTCCTATGTAATTCTTATCCTTCAACATTGGTATCAGCCTTGTCATCAAAATAAGGGACGTTATGCCATGGAATCGTGTTCACCATTCATGGTGAACACGGTTCCAACGGTCTTAGTACACTGTTATCTTTTTTTTTTCTTAATTAACTGCGTGACTTTACTTCTTTATTTTCACATTTTGCGGTTTCACTTTAATTTGAGGTGAACAAAGATTTCGGACATTCATAAATTATGAATTCATGCCTGCACATTCACTTTGGAACCATGCCTACACATTCTCGTTCGAAATCACGGACATTCATAAATTATGAATCCATGCCTGCACATTCACTTTGGAACCATGCCTACACATTTACTTTGGAACCATGAGATTATGAATTTTCTGTTAGAACAAATTGCACTTTTGGTCCCGTGAGTATTAGGGTACTGACAATTTGAGTACGTGACTTTCAAAACTCCCAATTTAGATCTTTAACTATGCAAAAATTGGCAGATTTGGTCCTTCGAGCCAAATTGCCGGCCAATTTTGGCCGGAAAAACATAAATTGGTTCGAATTTATTTGTGTTGAGGGCAAAATCGTCATTTCACTCCCTTCTTCTTCATTCTCCCTTTCTTCTTCGTTCTTCTTCTTCTTTCTTTCTTCTTCTTTGCTGCTTTTTTACCGACCCAATACAATGCATGAGCCATGATTAATTAATTTAATAAAAAAAAATCATCTAAATTTCTCTCAAACCAAATTTGGTAAATCCAACAATCACCCATTTTCCATTCTCCTAAATACATAAAAATAATACGGTTGTACATAAAAACATATATGTAATCAATAAATACATAAACATATATTGTTGGCTCATGAACTTTCCTAGCTCTGCCTGGGCAAGCCGCCGCTGAGGTCCCTCTCCGTCTCCGCCACTGTCGGCGACGCCCTGTCCGTTCTTAGAAGCTCGGAAGGCATCTCCATAAGCGTGTGGATATAGTGATTTATATATGAAGATTATTTCATGAAGGGAATTTAAGAAAATTTTGCGAAATGATTAATATATTCTTTAACAATTTAGAAATTCAAAATAAATTATTAATGATAACAAAAGCTACAAGTAATAGATTAAAGAAGCAGCAAAGAAGAAGAAAGAAAGAAGAATAAGAACGAAGAAGAAAAAGAAGAAGAAGAACAAAGAAGAAAGGGAGAATGAAGAAGAAGGGAGTGAAATGACGATTTTGCCCTCAACACAAATAAATTCGAACCAATTTATGTTTTTCCGGCCAAAATTGGCCAGCAATTTGGCCCGGAGGACTAAATCTGCCAATTTTTGCATAGTTAAAGGTTTAAATTGGGAGTTTTGAAAGTCACGTACTCAAATTGTCAATATCCTAATACTCACAGGACCAAAAGTGCAATTTGTTCTTTTCTGTTATAAGATTATGAATTTTCTGTTATGAGATTATGAATTTTCTGTTATGAGATTATGAATTTTCTGTTATGCGATTATGAATTTTCTGTTATGAGATTATGAATTTTCATTACATTCATAATTTCGGACATTCATAAATTATGAATTCATGCCTGCACATTCACTTTGGAACCATGCCTACATATTCTCGTCCGAAATCACGGACATTCATAAATTATGAATCCATGCCTGCACATTCACTTTGGAACCATGCCTACACATTCACTTCGGAACCATGAGATTATGAATTTTCTGTTATAAGATTATGAATTTTCTATTATGAGATTATGAATTTTCAGTTGTGAGATTATGAATTTTCTGTTATGCGATTATGAATTTTCTGTTATGAGATTATGAATTTTCATAAAATTCATAATCTCATAACAGAAAATTCATAATTTGATCAAACGCATGCCGTTAACTCCACATCCGCGAATTTTTATTTTTATTTTTTGCCTAAAAACGACGTCGTTTTGTCTTGTGTTCACCATTCTCGGTGAACACGATTCCATGGCATAATTTGCGTCAAAATAAAGACTTCTCGCATTGCTCCACTCTTATGCATTGGGAAGACACCCTGCAAGCTATATTTAATTTGCTTGCACCTTTGCCTTAAATGTAAAACTTTTACTCTCCTGTAACTTAGGTCTAGTCCATAATATCATTGTTACATGAACTAGTAGTTGCACCCGTGCGATGCAGGCTATATATATAGTATATAGAATATACCGTATAATATAATTAGATGGAAAAATATATAGTTTGAAAACTTAATAAATTTCAAATGATAAACTTTGTAATTTTATTACGCATTGTTGAAGACTTCTTTGTACACAACATTTTTAATCATACTTAAACATGGTACATTTTCGCCACAAATAAAAAATTTTAAATCCATTGAGTTACTAACTCCTAAAACAGCTACGTACATTTGGGCATGGTTAAAGACAGGCCTTATCCAAAACAATCCCACTTTTGATAGTGTTTGTCCTTGGCTATTGTTTTGTTGTGGCATAACATAACATCAAATGAAATCGCTTTCGTTGGAATTTGAAAGGCAATCGTGGATCTGACGGTGTTAGTGACATTCTGGAAATTAAAACCTTTGTTCATGCATTTGTACGACACATGATATGGGCTTCAAACACATGATCAACCAGCCTTGGAACAATCAACCTCGCACCATCACACAGTCCTAAAGTGTGATCAATATTTCTCAAAAAGCATAACACGTGAACCCCCTTTCAAAGTCAAAGCATGATTCGTTACTCCAGATCATCACAAACCATTGAAGAATTATGGGGTGTGCAAATCCGCTAACATATCTACATTTGATTCGGATTTACAAACAGAATCACAACTCAAATAAGTCATACCTTTAGTTGGATTATGATCCTTCATGTATTGATTAATGCTATCTACCACATCCAATGTTGCAGCCAAAATAGCACTATTCTTAAGATAAGACAGATCACATATACCGCGTCGAAACAAAGGGAATGTGCTATCAATAATCGTAGCAATAGGATCATCGTCAGACTTGAGCAATAAGTGATCTGTAATTGTAATATCTGCTTCACCATCAATTGAATTACCAACTACTCTACCTATATTAGCTATCCATTTTACAAACTCTTCAATCTCTTTTGCTTCAACCTCTGATTGTACACCTCTTAGGCGTAGATTCTTAGTTAGCCTAAATATTTTACAGGATCTCTAAAGGTATGAGGAATTTATACTTGCCCCAACAATATCTTGACGTGTGCGCTTTGAAATTACTGGTAGAATTTGTCTGAGATCGCCACAAAAAAAAAAACAATTATTTTACCACCAAAGGTCATATCATAACTATTTGGATTTTTGGAGCGTAACAAAACCCTCATTTTACGGTCTAAAACTTCAAAGCAAACTTTGTGCATCATTGGAGTTTTAATTAGAAGTTATTACAACACACAAAAAAAAAAGCATAATAACTCAAGAAATTGTAATTTTATTTACAAATTGTTAACCCTTAGGATTGCTAACCCTAGACGTAGTAACATACAATTGGTCATGTACAAACATTGGTTTCTTCCGTTGAAATTGACTTTTATTTATTGTCATTGCATATGACAACATCAATGGAAATTGTCTCCTTTGAAATTTGAAAGGCAATCTTGTATATAATGAAGTCATAGACATTCTAGGTATCAATAATGAACTCCAAGTGTTGTCACCCGTCATTATTTTGGCCTCAATCACATGGTCAGACAATCTTGTAATGACCAACCTCATACCATTGCATAAGCCCAAAAAATGATCTATATTTCACAACAACATTACAACTACCATATGAGCGATTTAATCATAATTTATAAAAATCGGTGTGAAAATTATTAAAAAGTATACTATATAATAAATACTCCGTATATAATTAAATTTCATAATTAGCAGTTTTGAAATAAAATGCATAATTATCATAAAAAGTATATCATTAGCATACATATATATATATATATATATATATATATATATATATATATATATATATATATATATATAGATGTATAATAAACATAAAAAAAATATGAAGTCAATTTAAAATTAATTAATAGTAAGTCTGTTACAAAAAAAAAAAAATTGAAAAAAAAAATCCGAGCCCAAAATTGTTTTTTTTTTTTTCCTGAGATTAATGAACAGGCCCAAAATCATAACCAAAAGGCCCATAACCCGACCCAACAAAGGCAATATGAAGACTTTCTTTCCCTAACCCAGGTCTCCGACCCCGACTTTTCAGCTTCTTTCGTCTGTTCTCAGAGTTCTCTCTGCCCATGGCCGAATCACTTTGGCTAGATCTTTAGCTGATAAATACCATATCTGGTATTTTATGAACTCATCCTCGTTTTCAGTTCTTAAATTTCAAGTTTAACGATAACCTGTCAGGGGATTTTAGCTATCGCGGGTGTGAATCTTCAATGAGCTAAGTTGATCTATCCCTTTACTAATTTCATACATTGTACTTAGCATATATTTTTTCATTTGTATAGTTTTTAAGGTCTTTGTTATACACGTCATTTATAAGTTGTAAGAACGATTATTTCAATTAGGGTTTTTCTAAATTCATGAAGTTGTTCGTTATTTAGCGTAATCTATGAAATATTCTGCAATTAAAATAATTTTTATTTAGTTTTATAGCTAAATACTGAACATGCAACAGATTAAAATCCGATCTGATATTTGTTTCGTAATTATTTTGTACACATCAAGTAATTTATTTACATTTTTGTTTCCAGCATGGCAAATAAGATATATATACATGATACAATGGACGATGACTTAGCAAAAAGATGTATATAAGTACTAATACAAAAAAAAAAAAATCACCGCAGTTTTACAAACTTTTGTTGGCAATGATCCGGTGTCCTCTTGCTGCCTATAATTGTAGAACCTATGATTAGTCTTATATCTTTGATTTGACTGCAGAAAAAATTCAAATTTCTGATTGTACAATGATAAAGTTGTAATTTCCAGTTATATGCTGAATATGATAAACTTTCATTATTTAATTAAAAACTTCTTATACTGTTCAATCTTATCAGTTTCAAGCCTTTAATTGGGAAAGTTGGAGAAGCCAGTTGTATCTTGAGCTTACTGCATACCTGAATTATTACACCTAACTAACTGGATACAATTGCGGTACATTGAAGTTCATCATTTTTATTTTTATTAATAAAAATATTTGTGGGCATCCATTGTTTGTTTATTTTTTAGTAGATTTAAGTTTCAAAAGCTGCTCAAACTTATCAGTTTCAAGCTCTTTATTGTTCTGTTCTTATAGTCTGTATTAGTTCTTAACTCAAAAGTGTTTATACCAACACAAATCTTCTTCTCACAGCCTTTTAAGGAAGAATTGTTTGATTACTGAAGGGGTTAAATGACTTAGCTGAAGATCAAAGAGTTAAAACAATCACTAACAGGAAATAATTTATTACTGTTATGTTGTCTTTTTACATTGGGTTTCGCAATGCCTTCAAGTGCATAAATGCAAACTGTTCCTAATCTGTTAGTTTACAGGGAAGTAGTAATATCTGGGTTTCCTTTATAATGGTGTCAAATTTACTGTATTCCGTATTTTCTTTATTTTCATGATTACTTAGCTAACTTATCTTATGTTATATACTTGTATATATAGAAGTAATAATTCTAACTTCTTTTGTCAATAATGTTATAGGAATATGGTTATAAATCACTCGACTTAGACACTTCTAATATTAAGAGTAATTTTTTAATTTTTAACAATCCAGCAGCAGGGAATGTCCTACTTCCTTTCCATCTGATAATCTGATATGTCCTTGCTTCTAGGAGGGTAGAGGTTGCTGCTTCCTTTAAAATAATGTGTAGAACAACCATACAAAATGATCAGAATATTAACAATTTTTGAACTTGCCAAATGTAGAGGATGCTGCTTCATTTCCATCTGTTCAGTGTTCCTGTTTATAGTGAGCTACTGGGACCGATTTCCCTCTATTTTACCTATAAATATTTATAAGAAATATGGCTTAAAATGATTTAATTTTTCCCTTTCTGTTCATAAGAAACATGATTTAAAAAAACTGTTAACCCTTTTACATGAATTCTCTTGCTTGTTGTTCATCAGCACATCTCAGGGTTTCCATAGGTTCTGACCAACCGACCTTTGATTGCTCTTCTTGTGTGGAGATGGCTATCTGACTTGCAAGAAGTCATTTCGGATAAAATTCACAAAATTCTTTCCGCACCTTTCATTAAGTGTGATTGTACATGTATTTATAATGATTTCAGTCTGTATATTTAGTTCAAATCCTATTTGAAGAGAAGACATTAATTGTTTGTTATTGGAAACTGAATATAGTATAATTAGATTTCAGTCTGTATGTTTAGTTCAAATCTTATTTGAAGAGAAGACATTAATTGTTTGTTATTGGAAACTGAATAGTCAGGTAGTATAATTAAATGGTGCGGCCTAGGGATTCTTCCATCAGGCCATCACTATTAATCACGGCTATTAACATACACAAATGTGAGAAAGTTAAATATAAAAATCATTTATTATTTCGGCTAAACCTCTTCAATATCGCCAATGTAATGTTAAAAGCATTTAATTTTTTCGCAATCAACATTACCTCAAAATACTAGGTGCAAGTAAATAAAAGAGAGAATAAAAAAGACAATAGCCTTGGAATGCAAGGCAAAGTGCGATATTGTATCTCCCGTTCCATTCTGCGGCCCCGAATCCTCCGCCGGAGGTCCACTCGCCGAAGATGCTCCTGATCCACTGCAACATTCACACCGCCCACAAATAATTAAATAATTAATTAATGTCACCCAAAAAAAAAAAAAAAGGGCTTGAGCTCATTCGACCGTGGCGCGAATTGAAGTATAGGTTGTGAAAAGAAAAAAAAAAAAAAAAATTCAAGAAGATATTTATATATTATTATGCGCAGTTGTACGTACATTAATCAAAGAAGTAAAAGCTACAAAAGAAAACCCTATAACTCTTATCAGATAAGGTCCAAAGATTCTTCTTGCCCAGCCCAGCTTCATATACTTCCATTCCTACTCATTCAATTTTAAAAAAAATTCTAATAATAATTTTTATATATATTTAATAAAATCTTGAGTATTATTTATAAATTTTATGCGTTAAAATTAAATTAATTAATCTTAATTACCTTGTGGTTGAAGGGCAGAATGTAATTTTATAATCGGCGCCTGAGCACGTAAAAGTACTAGTGGCGTCATCGTAGGCGTAGCTATAAGACGTGGGGCATGCATTTTTGAAGATTTGGGAGTACATCGACGGCTGACATGTCGAAGGTGAACCGTACGCGCCGCTGCAACAGTATTCCGGGTTGCCGAATGCGTCGCACGCGCTTCTGCATGCCAGCCCGTCTCCGGACCGGAGTTCCTTCGGGCAAATCCGGTTCACGTCCGCGGCGCAACCGGTTGACCCGCACGCTCCGATCCTGCCAATGGCTTCCACTTGCATTGGCAAGTTGTATCCGTCCACCAGGCTGACGTCGTAGAAGTCCATATTATTAGCGCCCGATGACGCGATCGTGAACTCCGCCAGCGTTGCCGGAGGTGTTGCGCCGGCGCCATTGCATTCGACCTGATTGGACCGGCAGTCGCCGGTGGCGCAGCTTCCTTGTCCACTTCCGGCGTCGAAATTACAGCCGGTTCTCCCCCAGATCCGACCGGACCAACTCGATGTCACCTCAAAACCCCGCCACGTCCCCGGGGCAAGTTCGAAACCGGTGGTATTCAACCCGGTACTGCTGGCATTGGCCAGAACTCCTGGCCATACCGTGTAACCGCATCTATTGATCAACATAAATGTGGCTCCTCTAGCACCTGCGAAAACCCAAAAACAACATATTTATCATCAGACATCAGTCCAATGAATCCCAGAATGTAACAATCTATTTATGTTTCTGTTTTTGTCCTTTTACCTTCGACAATGAGGATGAAGAACAGCAGACAAGAAGCAAACGTTGGAGACATTTCAAGCTAGATTTCCCACTCAATATGGCGTGGTGAGAAGTTGATTGAAGAAGAAGAAGAAGAAGAAGAAGAAGAAGAAGAAGAAGAAGAAGAAGAGAGAAACGAGACAGAGATCGTTCTTCTGATCTGAGAAGATGAATATGAAGGAAGAAGATATGGAGAAGATCGAAGAATGGAAGAAGAAGAAGAGAGAAACGAGACAGAGAGTACGTTCTGATCTGAGAAGATGAATATGAAGGAAGAAGATATGGAGAAGATCGAAGAATGGAAGAAGAAGAAGAAAATGTGAAGGCTATTTTATAGTGAACAAAATCACAAATATTGTGAAGTAGATTAGTTTAATTTAGATTAGAGGTTTAAGCTAAGCAAATTAAAGGTGTGATAGATAGATACGTGATGAGGTTGTTGGAAGAGTACGTTGCAGAGAGGATCATATCAGTAAGCTTATATATTTGCATGCATGGCACTGGACTTTGGGAAAATAGCAAGTGTGGAGAGAGGCCGGGAAAGCTTTGAGTGTGCCCCATTCCACCGCTACTTTTATCTTTCAATCTACACCTCATGTTGGCCTCCCTGACAAATAATACACCGTAATACACTTATGTAAATAAAATTAATACACTTCCAAATTTAAATGGTGGCTCAAATTTTAGAAGCATTAAATTAAATTTATCAACCAGGACTATGTGGTCCAATGGTATCCGAGTTGGACTTCTATTTGGAAGATTATAAGTTCGAGCCTCAGTGAAGGCGTTATTGGTTCTTTGTGTTTCAGTAGGTTGAGAAAGTATATGAACACATACTACAATGTAATAGAGCCAGTAACTTTCAAAAAAAAAAAAAATTAAGATACTTCCTATCCTAATAAATTTAAACTTAATTAAAATAACATAATATACGTATACCCTTAAAGGTTATTTTACATATAATAAGTTAATAGTAAACATCTAATTTACCAAACACTTTTTTTTTTTTTTATAACCATCTAATACAATCACCTATTAACTATTAGCTAACTCGATCAGCTATCATCAGTAATATATAATTTGTAAAATCAATCCGTTAATTACATAGTGTTATTAATGTCATTCTTAAGTATCTCCTAAAATGATTATTTTTGTCCTCATGTCACAACAAGTATTAAATTTATTTTAAATTTTACATATATTTTGAATTTTTAACTTTAATTTAAGATAGAATGATACATATACATGAAAAATTTAAATTTAAAATTGGACTAACAACTTCAATTCTATGATATGCTTATTCGAAATAATCATTTTATACGATGATCAAGAATATAATAATGTGAATGAGTATGAGAATCTGTGAAAAAAAATTGAAGAAAGAAAAGTGTTGAAATTAGGTTAGGCAATGCAATGAGAAGGGTTGTTTTTGTGTCAGACCCTAACAAATTAAATTAAAATCAACTCACCATTTCACTTAGAATTGTTATAAATTTTAGTTATAATAAAACTTTGCTCTTTAACTAGTAAAAGGTGCATTCTTGGCTTTCTTTCTAATACAAGTAAAAAAAATATGAGTGATGAGATGTAAATCTAAATTTATTACTTGAAAAAAAATGTAAATCATCACAAAACGTTACCCAAAAAAAAGACATTACATATTATTGACTTAATCATTAGGGAATTTAAAATACATGCAGTGAAATACAAATATAATATCACTCAATTCATTCTCTTAATCATCCATCATATGGTACAATAATCTATCAAGTACTAATATTATTATGATTAGTATTAAATAATAGTCGCATGCTGCATGTTTCACTTCTTCACCGAATGTGTTGGATCTTCACTCAGCTGCCTCCCACGTACTCACGTAGCATGTGTTACATTGGATTATCTCCACTTCATGCCATATTTCTCTCCAACTTTTCTTTTAGTATAAATAGCAATTGCTTTTCCTTTCAAAAAAAAAAAAAAAAAAAAAAAAAAAAAAAAAAAAAAAAGAAGCAATTGCTTTTGCTTTGTAATTCATCATCAGTGCATCAATTTAAATTCAATCCTTTCTCTTCTTTATCTTCTTTCAATTCACGCGTGTATGTGTGTGTGTATATATATATATATATATATATATATATATATGTTCCTTGCAAGTGAGGTATGTGCCTTACTACTTGTGGTTTCTCTACATACCTAGCTATTTAATTTAAGTCTTTTTTTCTATTTTCCCTTTAAAAAAAAAGTCATCTTAAAAATAACTGATGAAAATGTTAGGTTGAATACAATGGTAGGGATGTCAATATAATAGAAAACTAATGGGTTGATTAAAACACTAATGGAAATTATGGAATTTTCGACCACCTAAAATTGATCTTAAATTAAGTCGAAAGTCTTGTTCCGATCACTTTTGGTATCCGGAAAAATCTTTGTTGCTATTTCCGACCACTTTTTGGTATTAACTTGATTTAAGATCACTTTCAGGTGGTCGGAAATTTCATAATTTCTAGTAGTGAAAATATTAAAAAATTTGTGGGTTAAAGTTGAAAACTAGTTCAAAATTTAATAATTCTCTTTGGTCAGACCACTCGGTGTCTTGACCTTAATTGTAGGACGCATCTTTAAATTAATAGACATCTCTTACAAAGAGTCAAATTTAGAACTATGTGGTTACCAAGTCAACTATCTAATTTACCTGGCCGAGTCCGCCCCTTGATTGACATATCTATATCATAGAAACAAATTTTAAATAATTGTCATTAATACACAATTTTAAATATTTAAAATCATTTTCAATAATATTGAAATAAATAAAAAAAATACACCGAAATACACTTATGTAAATAAAAATAATACACTTCCAAATCTAAATGGTGGCTCAAATTTTAGAAGTATTTATCAAAATTAAGATTTCATACTTCCTATCCTAATAAATTTAAACTTAAAATAACATAATATACCCATACCCTTAAAGGTCATTTTACATATAATCAGCTAATAGTAAACATGTAAGTTACCAAACACGTTTTTATAACCAGCTAATACAATCAGTTGGTCAAACTAACTAATACAATCAGCTATTAACTATCAGCTAACTCGATCAACTATAACCTGTAATGATTTGTAAAATCAATTCATTAATTACATAGTGTTGTTAATGTCATTCTTAAGTATCTCCTAAAGTGATTATTTTGGTCCTCATGCCACAATAATTATTAAATTTATTTTAAATTTTACATATATTTTGAATTTTTATCTTTATTTTAAGATATAATGATACATATAGAGAATCAAAATGCATGTAAAATTTAAAATAGGACTAATGACTTCAATTCTATAATATGCTTATTCGAAATAATCATTTTATACGATGATCAAGAATAATGTGAATGGGAATGAGAATTTGTGAAAAAAAAATAAAGAAAAAAAAAGTGTTAAAAATTAAGTTAGGCAATGTAATAAGAAGGGTTATTTTTGTGTCACACCCTAACAAATTAAAATCAACTCATCATTTCACTTGAAATTGCTATAAATTAAAAAAATAATAATAATAATAATAATAATAAAAGTGAGACACGTTAAAAGAAAAAAAGAAAAAGAAAAAGAACCCACTCTCTTTCTAGATTAGAGTTGTGTTGCGGACAAGTTTGGTTGTTTTGGTAAGAAGATAGATCGGCTGAATGGCAAAGAAAAAAAAAAGACAAGAAAAAAGAGTAAAAGTGAGAAAAAGAAAAAGCAAAAAGTAAAAGTAAAGCAAAAGTAAAAGTAAAAGTAAAGCAAAAGTAAAAGTAAAACTTTTGTACACATTTTGCCTTATTCTCTCGTTGATATATATTGTATTTTTTTTATATTGTATTTTTTTTTTTATCGTAGTTTTTTATTGTAGTTAGACTAACAAAATTTACATAATAATTATTATTCTTAAAGATCGGACTTAATAAGTTAACAAATATTAGGGATAAAACTCACAAAATCATTTGAGCTGTCAAAAGAAATCTAGATGCCTTGATGTTCCCTATGATGGATAGTCCGGTTGGGGATGGAGCAAATGCAAAGCAAAACGTGCCCCTTTCATCAACTGGTATAAAAATGTTCGTACCTGGAATGGTCAGGATCGGACCATCCATAAGAAAAACCGATACGGTTGGTACCAGAACCGTAACGAACCCGTTTAAGTCGTAGTATGTGTCGAATATTGAGACGCTGGGTGCCCGCAAAACGGATTGTTTAACGTTGAAATGGTGGTGAGTGGGAAAGGGGATGGTGTGGCCGGCTGAGGTATTGGTTTCGGTTGCGGAGGTTGTAAAGAAAAACAGTGAGAGGAGGATATGGATCGGACAAGCATTATGAAGTAGATTAGATGTTTAAGCTTAAGCAAATTAAAGGTCTCATAGATAGATAGTGATGAGGTTGTTGGAAGAGTTGCAGAGAGGATGAGTAAGGGATGAGTGAGAATGAGAGCATTGGAAAGGGATGCAGACTATATATAGAAGGTGATAAAGAGAGATTAATTAAAGAAAGAGACTATAAACAAATTACAAGAATGTCCTTGACAATCCTACCCTTCTACTTCATCTCATATCCCATAGTACCTATAGTAGTTTTTCCTAAATTAATTTTTAACTATAGTGATTCTACTCAATTTAGTCATCAACTACAGTGATTTTTATTGATCTAATCCTTGATTCTAAGAGCTGAGAATTCAATTGGATAAAACCATCGAAATTGAAGACTTAATTAAACACAAAAAATTGTTTATGACTAAATTAAAAAAAAAAAAAAACTCATTATAATAGAAGACTAAATTATGTATTAACTTTTTTTCCTTTAATCGCCTGACTTTCAATATTATATATTTAAACTATTTAGAAGCACCTTAAACGATGTTTTATTAAATATAAAAATTTCAATTAAAAAATACATCTCAAAAAAGAATTGTTAGTTTCGTGAAGTAATTCATAACTTTACAATGAAGTTAATGATAATTTTTTTCAAAAAGTTTGCTTATTGTTTGCCACACATAACTACTTGATAGCGGATTCTTCTTCTTTGCTTGATTCTCCACCTTTCCCTTTTACTTTGCTTGAATACTAAGTTTGTGGCTGAGCATAGATCATTTGTGGTCAATAAGGAAGTATGGGAAGAAGCTAAGCAAGAGATATTTGTATATATGTCAAAAGTAAAGAAGGAAATGGGGCTGCAACAATTTGAGAAAAGAAAAGGGGAAATAGTGGAAAAAACAAAGGCTTTATACTTAGATAAGCTTAAAGAGTTAAGATTAAAGAGTTATCAAAAAATAGGAAAGTTAGACTGATCGAATTGATGCAAGGTAGGGCCTGACCTAGAAAATAGAAAAAAAGAAGAGAGTTTGGAAGCGTGGAATAAGGAGGGCCACCTATTTAGGTGGTCTAGGTTTTTTTTTTTAAAAAAAAAAAACATTTAGGAAACCACAACTAAATTTTACTAGAAAATTTCTAGTCTAGACAAAGCACAATAATTATTATTATTCTTCCAACAATAATAATTATTATTATTATTACTTAATGTTGTTATTATTATTATTATTATTATTGTTATTATTAATTTATTAATTTATTATTATTAGGATAATATCTGTGTGAGATCATTTCATGGGTCTCAATTCGTGAGACAGGCCGAATATTTGACTAATAAATCGAATTTTGACCTCATTAATTAAATATTTGACCCGTCTCACGAATTGAGAGCCGTGAAACGGCCTCAAGTTTTATTATTATTATTATTATTATTATTATTATTATTATTATTATTATTATTATTATTATTATCTTTTTCTTTTTACAATTTTCCCTTTTTCATCATCACGATTTGTTGTTGTTATTATTATTCCCCACCCCCACCCCTTTCATCATCACGATTTGTTGTTGTGAGGAAGAGAACAAGAAATGAGAGGTCCTTTTCAAAAAAAAAAAAAAAAAAAAAGAAAGAAAGAGAGGTCCACCATATCTTTATCTCTCTGCTTTCTCTCGTTTTCATGAACTCAAAAAAAAAAAAAAAAAAAAAAAAAAGAGAGGTCCACCCCCCACCGCAAAAATACAAAGGCAAAGTGAATGAATGACCCCTTTCACTAAAATATAAGCATTTTTCATAACTTCTCACAAAAAGAAACAAGAATACAATGAAAAAAAAACCTCAAGCTATTCAACAAACCTACCTATATGCTGTACAATAATAGCGTACATTGTGCATATCATCTCATTTTAATTACGAACAAATAAGGATCTTTTTTTCCACATTGCAGATAACATATAATGTTCTAAAATTCCCCCCTTCTTTTTAGTGTATATATTACAATATGCATGCAGTGTGAAAATCAAATTTAATATATACAACATCATTACAATACTCTCCCGTTAAGTATTATACTAGGGGTAGGAGTTTTGAGATTCGATTCAATTCTTTTCGGTTTCAGTATTTCAGTTTTAAAAAAATGATACCATTCAGTATAACATTAGTTCGGTTCGGTTTAAGAACCCCAATTTTTAACATTTCTAAATTTTCCAAACATAGTACCAAACAATATATACATATTCACATAATTAAAATCCTAAATGAAGAATTTGCCTCTCGACGGGAACTCCTACTACTTTAACTCTAAACATTATATAACAAAATATCAATTCAAAGTTTAGACACACTACTAAGTACCCAAACATCAGTTGGCTCACTTGGAGTATTTTGTTGACAAGATGAAAAATCATCCATCTGTATAGTTAATATTAGTTTTTTCACGCGCATCGCGCGAATGGGATAATGCCCAATGGTTCATGTTCAGTTGAGTCACCATGATTTACATCCTCCCAAATGCTCTGTCGGGCCGGGGTGTGGGGGGCCCTTAGGGTTGGGGTTCAACCTTTTGGAAGAATATTAGTTTTTTCACGCGCATCGCGCGAATGGGATAATGCCCAATATTTAATTTTAAATAACTACTTCAAAGTATATAAATGCAAGATTATATATGAGATGTTCATGGATAGGTAATTGAATGTTGGATTTGTTTATTTAAATAGTAATTTAAAGTATATGAATGCAAGATAATATATTAGTGATTGATAATAATTATATTGTCACTAAAATAAATGTTTACAACTTTGTAATAACGCTAGATAATTGAAGAGCAAGATTATATTGGAATTGTTCATGCATAGATAATTGAATGTTAAATTGACATATTCAAATAGGCAATTATAAGTTTACAAATGCAAGATAATATAGTCCAGATTTATTATAATTGTCAATAAAATAATTGTATAGGTATGGTTGAAACCAAATACGGGACATAAGGGAGAACAAATAAAAATGTGGGCATAAAATATTAAATATATACTAATATTGAAGAGCTAACTGCTGATTACCAAACAAGGACATTGCAAGATAGTTTCCTACTTCAGTTTGTTGTATGATTTGAATACTCGTTTTGTCAATAAATCCCACCAAGTAGTTGATATGATTGACTTAATTATATATATTTTTTTATTTTTTTAAAACTATTATTATTATTATTATTATTATTATTATTATTATTATTATTATTATTATTATTATTATTATTATTATTATTATTATTATTATTATTATATACCCTTATCTCATTTTACATGTTAATCTAAACAAATAAAATTTTCAAATATCTTTTTACTAACCGTTGATATAATTCGTTGGTCAAATTTGCGAATATAGTCCGCTAATGCTAACCGCTAACTGCTGATTGTTAAACAAGGACATTGCGAGGTAGTTCTCACTTCAATTTGTTGTGTGATTTGCATACTTTTGTCAAAAAATCCCTCAAGTGGTTAATTAATATGATTGACTTAATTATTTTTTTTAATTTTTTCATGGTACTAATAAAATACTTGGTAAATAAATATATAACATTATTTTGTATTATAACTTTGATATTTAATTAAAAAATAGTGCACAAAAAAGATAATAGACAATGTAGTGAATATAATCAATTGATAAATTTGAATGTAAAAAAATTTTACATTGGAGAAATATAAAGACAATATAACTATTAAAATTATTTTTCTTAATTAATTTATTGATAATGAATAATTTTTTAATAAAGACATTGTAGGGACAATGCAGCGAATATAATCAATTGATGAATTTGAATGTAAAGAATTTTTATATTGGGAAAAAATAAATACAATATAACTAATGAAATTATTTCTCTTATTTAATTTATTGATAATGAATATTTTTTTTTGAATAAAGACATTGTAGGCACACAGTTCTAAATTAAAGAAATGCATATGTATTATTTTTTTGTTGTAGCTACTAAATTATTATTGAATTTAATAAGAGTAAAATATAGTACTAATTATGCCAAACTTTAATTGGGATGAGGTTGGAACCTAAAACCTTTGTTATTGAAATCAATGAGGACAAGTATATTATAGAGGACTGTGATGACAGATGTAGTGTGTGCCATTAGCATGTATGTCGTGTGTATGGCCGAATGTAGTCGTGTGCCACAGTTTGTATGTCGCGTGCATAGATTTGTTAATTAATAGAGCCTAGGTTTGAAACCTGATGTTTACATGTATTCTTGTGTCCCATTATGTATTAAATTGGGTGCCTTTTATTAATTTGTTGTGTGCCCATTATATGTATGTATGTATGTATGTATGTATGTATGTATGTATGATGCATGCATGCATGCATGTATGTATGTATGTATGTATGTATGTATCTATGTATGTATGTAAGAAATATTTGGTAAATTAGTTGTTAGTTGTTGGCTGATTACATACAAAATGATTTTCTCTAAAAGTTTATTGAAAAAATTACTTTGAGAAGCTTTTTGAATTTTAGAATTTTGGAGCAAAAAGTTGTTACAAAAAACTAATTAATCAAACACTAATATTGATTGTTTAACAAAGTCAAACAGCCAATAGTGATCAAATAAGTCAAAATTGGTTGGTAGGTTAACTATTTTACATCTGGACCATTGTCTCAGATGTATTATTTAAATAATTAAATGGGATAAATTATATTTGAAAAAAGAATTATGATTGATAATTCAAACAGATGACTTTCTATTTAGTTATCCAATACTAATTGCTGTCAATGAACTTGTGGTCTAGTGACACCTCTTTTATATGAGAGGTTGTGGATTCGAGCTTTCAATAGAGACGGTATTGACTACTTGTGCTTCAGTAGGTTGTGAAAATAATTATGAACAGATACTGCATTGTAACAAAGTCAATAATATTAGAAAAAAAATCAAAGATTAATTGCTTTGTGTTGCAATAATATAAAATGTATATTGCCTAAAAGATAAATAATTTTTAGTTGAATAAAATATATAAAATGATAAAGGTTGTAGTCTCACCTTGAATTTAAAATTTTAGTTAGGAATTAATATATTTTAATATATGAATCTTTCAATTATAGTTATCATTTTTTGTAACATACCATCT